TATTTGAAACAAAAAAAGAAAAAAAATTTTTAAAAAAAAAAAAAAAAAACTACAACAACAAATAATATGAACCTGAGTAAAAAAAGAAACAGAGACTGACTACAACAAAAGAGAAAAAACTACACATAAATTGATGAAGGAGAAGTAATTGCAATTAAATCTAAAATGAAAGATACTTAGTACTTCTAGTACTAGTGATATTTTAAATCGAGGGAGTAATTAACGAAAGGAATATAAGAATGGTCAAATAAATAGTGTAATTTACTTTGAAGTTTTTGGAAAAGAGAGCCCGGCACTGCTTCTCTTTGGCATCTTCTGTATTTTTGTGTCCGCCAAAAGCATACTATACAAACACAAGTGTGTCAACTGTCAACCCCTTGTCCCCACTTTTAATTATTTCACTTTTAAAACATTACAAAATTAATAAATCTTCACTTTTATTTGCCACGCATTTTATCTTTCTTTATTCAGTTTCTTCAAGGTGTTTGCTTTGGCTGGTATCATATTTTGATTCCGAGATTTGACAATGGCAAACAAACTAATCACAACATTTTGAGATTGATGCAGATACAAATCAATTACTACCTGGTACTTAGGATTATCTTTTTAACTCAAACCATTGCTCCATTAGGTAGAATCAAAACCTTGTTAGTCTTTTCTTCAGTTACATCAATTGAGGAAAGATTTTTATAAAGTTGGCGCTTATACAGTTATACTTACTTTAATGTGTTTTTCTAGAATAATGCTAATAATAAACACTATAAACTGAACCAGTATACCATCCTAGAATTAAAAACGTACGTACATACATTATGACAACTGCTAAACATCGATTTTGCATGTCAATGTCTTTGACAGCCTAAATTTTGAAATTTGTTTATTGACCAAACGTGCCATCCACTTCTGTCCAAAGAAATAGTTTTTGCAACGCAAGGAATGATATAGTTTTGACATAATAACAATTTCGAAAATGAAGATGGCATTGAATAATGAAGTAAGAAGCATTCATATATATATTTTGAAACCAGGAAGCAGGTCTTATCTGGAGTGTGGTACTAAGAAAAGTGGGAACATATGAACATGATATGAAAAAAGGCTCAGAGAATCTCATTAAATTGCCATTTTTCGTAACAGTATATAGAAACTCAGGCGGCACGTTGCCAGAATGTCTTCAGGTTAAAAGGTTTTTTGTCTCCCTTAGTAACAAGAGTGAGTTCTTATCTAGATTGTTACCACAAAATGTCTAGACTAAATAATCAATTTATATTCATTTTGAATATGAATAATCTTTTATAAAAGGACATGTATAAATTTTTTCCATTTACTTAGTAACTATAAATATGTTTTCTTATTTATTTTTCCTGCATTAAAAAAATATTATTATTATTTTTATGAGCAGTTACATTTTAGTTCTTGAGTAAAATAAAAAATATATTAATAAAAAAGAAAAAAGAAAACAGTCACCAAAAAGAAGTATCTCATTTATATAATATATAAATGTATGGATATAACAATTGTAATTTTCATTTCATAAATGTCAACAAATATATTAAAAATAGAAATTAACAATATATAAATAAGAAATATTAAAAATAAAACATCTATCACATTAATGATGTAAAAATTTATTTACTAAAATAGTGTACAAGTAAGATGTATCTAACATTTTTAATCGATATGCATTGGATATATGGTTAACAATTTGTTTTTCATATATTATTCACCCTTTTCAAAACTTATAATTCTTTTTGTTTATTTTATTTGTATATTTTGAAAAATAAAATATTTTTTCCTCACATGATTTCATCTATTATTTTTGTATCTTTATGATTAGTGTGTAAAATATTTAAATATTCTGTAGACATAAAAAGGACTTGATTAAAATTATAATATTAATATTCTCCTAAACTTTTACGAAATAAATAGATCCAATTCTTTCTTCTGAAAATGGATAAATAAGAAAGAAACTAAAGGAGTAATACTAAACAATTAAACATATTTGGTTTTAAGTTTATACAAAATTTATCATTCAAATTCAAATTTAGGGCTATTTATTATAACATTTTATAATTTTAACTTACCGAATAAAACAATATTATATTTAAAAGTTCCGATAATTTTTTTCTTTCTTTTTCTCTATTTATTTTTACGACAAAAGGTGTACGTTTTTATGCCTTTTTTTTATGTATGTCTTAATTAAAATAAAAATAATAGTGAAATTTAACAATAATAAAATTTTTGAAGAAATTAAGGTAAAAATACATTGGTAATGGAGTATGTTGTTTTAATAAATTCTTAAAGTTTAATCACCTAATTATTGCTCTTAGAAGAGTAAAAAAGTAGTAGTAAAATTTGCTTTTTTACGGAATGTTTAAGTTTGAAGCGTACGATACGGGGTGAGATATCCCACGGAAGACAAAAGGCTGTGAAAAGCACGCATGGATGGTGAGAGTGACACGTGGAACATATAGTGCATTTGTGATTGAGTCTGAGCAAGAGCGCGTGGGGTTGGCACAGAAAACCTAGTTTGTGTGTGACTAAAAACCATTAAGGCTCCATTTATTGTTAGGAAATTGTTGTTGGTAGTTGCTTTCCCATTACTTTTCCAAATTCCAAGTTCCGAGTTTCCAACACTTCCATTGTTTTTTGGTTTTTCGGTTCCATTTAGGTTTCCATTTGGGTTGTAAAAAAGTGAAAGTTAGAACAATGATAGCCACAGTATCTTTGCAGTCTCTATCTACACTGCATATGATATAATTGCCCCATCCATCTTTGTCACATCAGCATTTTCTATTTTTTTATATTTTAATACCATTATCGTATCAATATCAAATAAGACTTTTCTATATAACTTTCATCTGCATATCAATGATAAGAGTTTTTTTTAAGGATTGGTTTAGACGAGAAGAAATTAGTGAGAGATACTAAGCGGGGAATGAAAATAAAATAACAAAAATAAGTTAAAAGATTTGGTTGAGAAGAAATAAAGAGATAAAAAATTAAAAAAATGATAGACATTATTTCTTTTCTTATCTTTTTATATGTATATCTTATTTTTCACTTATTTTTTTATTAAATAATTAAAAATTTTACTCTATTTTTTATTTTTTTTTACTCATTTATTTGTCACCTATTTCTTTTTTTCTCTATCAAACACGTACTAAAATATTAGTAGCCTTTTGTTTATTATGAAATACTACAACATTATGCTTTAAATCAAATATTTTTCAAGGGTTAATAACTAGGTAATGAAATATATTTATGATACATTCATATAATAAAAAGTACTTCTAAAACTTTAATAATAATTTTTAAATATAAATAAAAAAATATTAAATGTTTGAAATCATAAAATATAAGCCATTTGTTAAAATCATTTAAAATTTTAATAAATGGTATGATTGCCCGATCCATCGTTGTCACATCATTTAAAATATAATTGCCCGATCCAACTAAAATTACATTCATGTAAAAAATTATCATTGATTTAATAAATAAAGTTAATTAAATATTCTAACCATAACATCTGAATATCTGATTGACATGGTGAGTGGTAAGTGGAGTGGTGAATCAAATTCAAGGTCTTTAGAGTAAAATAACATTTTAGTTGAAAATTTTTACGTATATTTCTTATAAAAAAATTATCAAATTTTATAACTTATATTAACAAAAGGTTTGAAGGGGCATTTATTTCAAAAAGAAAAAGTAATTAATCTATAACATCCTAAACCTCCCAAAACCATGTTACTTGTTCAATGAGATGTTATGGTTAAAATATTTCGTAACAAATTAACAATTATTTTGATATGGATGGGTTACTCTAATAGTTGATGGTGCAGAGAGATTTGACAACTTAAATGAGAGGCACTATTATTATGGTCCGAAAATAAATTCTCTGAAAGGATCAACATAGGTGGATGAGCAAAGCACTTTGGCACGTCCTTTTCTTTCTATTGCATCGCTATAGCAGTTATGTCATTCTTTATTAGAACTACTTTTCAAAATTCTATCATGAAATATTCTAAAACATAGCAATGCCAAAAGGGAATTGCAATGCCAAGATTTATTAAGCATGGGCCAAATTCACCGGATTCATCATACAGTAAACATTGACGGAAAAGGTGTTGACGTTGCCCAAAGAATCATACCCGAATCAGAATCAAAGTAAAAGATAAAAAAAAGGGGTCATAATTTGGAATTGGGTACAACAAATAATGACTTACTGATAAAAGCCAATAAAGCAATGTATGTTGTGCGCATTTCCTTCTTTCCTTTTGGTTGCAACTTTCATATTAATCAGAAGAAAAAGAAAACACTACTACATGTTGAAGACAAAGTCATAAAATTTACTCATTAGCTTTAATGGTTCTCAGTGAAATCATTAGCTGCCACGAGAAAAGAAGCTTCATATACGTCAGAACTTGCACATATCTTTTCTAATACAAGCAATGAGTACCCTTCATGGTGGTAATTCTTTTTATGATCCTGCAACACACCAAAGAGTGGATAAGAAAATTACATGGATTATTTCTACTTTGTGATACTTTCACTTTTAGTTATTCCTTGCTGAGTTGTAACACGAGTAAACTATAAATAAATATTACATTACCTTGTCGATGAGAATTGAGATGCTATTTGCATTTGAGTCAGAGTTATTAATTAATATGCCAAACACTGCAGCTGCAACAAGGAGGTTTAGGGAAAAATAAATAAAATAATTAATTCTAGAGAAGATTTGAAAAGGAGAGAAAGCAAAGGACAACCTTATTTGGGACTGTGAGAGCAACAGAATGTGAACATCACCGTTGGGGCTAGAATTTCCCAGAGCATTGCCCACCTACAATACAATACAATAGGGGGGGACCAAGCCAAGGATAAGAATAAGACACGCAAGAGATCTCAGCCAAAAGCTTTATTAGGAAGGTATAGACACGGTCAAATGCATTACTGTCAAGAAATCTATTGACTAAATATTCCATGAACTTGTGCAAACTGCGTGCCTAAAATTCTTAAATGCAAAAAGACAATCCAAGCACTAGTTCCATGAAATGGATCCAATGCTTTAGCCAGTATTATCAATTACATAAAACATGCTTTTTGGAAAAAGTTTTGTAACTAAAGAGGTGTAAGTGAATAAATTGTATCTTGTCTTCACTGAATATTTAAATTGTAGGGAAGCATACATAATAGCAGAGTTTGATTCTTTTGTAAAATGTGAATGGCATTCGAGCTAGACAGAAATTACCTTGTATTGTACACTTGCTATTTCTGTAATTCAGTTTCTTCGATTGGGGTTGATCAACGTATATTGTAGTATTTATCAAAAAAAATTCAAATCAGTATAACTGTAGCCATGTGAATGAGGCAACAACTCTTCTACTTCAATCCTCGAACTAGAGCAACTAGAGCATTTTTTGATTCTGTTACGACCAACAGACTTGACTTCAGCCAGAAACAAGCTATAAACCGGTCTATGATCCGAGAATCTTGATTCCCCACGAACATAAGATAGTTGGCGGAGGCCTCTTCCATACCACAATATACGATCACACCTTCATGAAAAAAAATTTGGATTAGATTAACATAAACAATGATATAGTTATAGTATCAAAATAATGCAGGACATTTCTTTTGATTATAGCATTATTCATTTGTCTCCTCTCGTTTCCATTTACATTTGCCACTACATGTATTCATTCATTAGTAGAAAAGAAGATTACCATGCTGGAGTTCTTCTCTTTTGTTTTGATTGTCTTTCATCGCCTGCATACCTGTCTGAATTGTTTGAATACTTGTATGTGGGAGGGAAATATATTTTCCCCTCATTCCATCCTTCAAAGACACGACCTTGTCTCTGCTCAATATGCAGCTGAAAGAAGATACAAATGGTCAGGCTGATATTACATATAATTCAATAAAAGAAGCTATGTTCTAACAAGTTGTAAGGGGACATAGTATCTTGCCTGGTCATTCTCCAACAGAGCCTTCCAATTATGCATCTCAACAAGAGCTTTTGCTGCACGGTAAGAAAGGGCTATCCGATAATTTAAATCCCCCAGCCAAATTATTCGACTACACCAATTAAACCACAAGTTTAGGTCTTGACCAGGGTAAAAGTTTAAGACTTACGACTGTCTTCATTTAGTTTCACAATCCATCTCCAAGCATTAGATGCTTAGAAAAGAAGTTCAAGGAAAAAGATGAAGGGCTTACTCATGATCCAGAATTGTCTGAGGAGAACTCTCATCACCCATGCCATGAACCCGGGGAAACCTTGTCTTTCTGAGAATCTCCATTACATCAGAATTTCTCCTTAGCTCGTCGCCTTCCTTTTGGCCAGAAGTCAAATGACTACAGACGAAGCAAAAGCTTGTTTGGTGCAAAGACATGCTAATTGATATTGAACCCTGGAAAACGCAAGAGAATGAGAATGACATCTCCATGATCACAATAAACTCTTCTCACAAAAAAACATATCCAATTCAAGGTTACCTTGTTTCCAAGATACCCCATTAGCCCTCTGCCAACACAAGACACTTTCATGTTGTGAACATCATCTCTAATATCACTTTTCACCCAAACTGTTAGAAATATCCCAACCATTTGCTTACTAGCAACCAAACAGTATCTTGAGTGCCCTGTCTGTCTATCCCTGTCCTCCATGGAGAAGTAGCCTCTATATGACATTGGTGAATATTGTGTCACAACTGGGGAGTCACCAGGGCCATTTTCATCATCTGAGGAAGCCCATCTATAATTGGGGTCATAGTCACTTGTCCTGTGACCAAACATCATTCTATCACAGACGCTGAGACGGCGATCAAGGCATGCTTGTGGTAGTGACATGTCATTGTCCATCCTCATACTATGACTCAATGATTGGAACGACCGGCGATGGAAGAATGAGGTTGCCTTCTGCCTCATTGATCCCTCAAAATCAGCATCCAACTCTACAATAGGGTCAGGAAGTGGTGAAGTGGTGTGGCATTCACCACTTGTTCCAGGAAGACTGTTTAGGGTCTTCCTAATAAGAGCTAGCCACTTTCTGGCAGGGCCATTGTCTTCTGTCCCCAAAACATTACCAGCATTGAGAGGTACAATTTCCTGAAACCTGAGTGCAAGAAAGGGCAAACTAGTTCATACTTGAACTTCGCATGGATCAAGTAGAGGATACAATAAATTGTACAATCAGAAATTTACCCAAGAACATAGATATCAGCAGGAGGAGAAGAGTGAAGCCAATCTTCCAGACTCAAGTAACTGGGAGGAGGTTTTCCAGCTACATTCCAAGTGGCAGCAAAGATTCTGTATGCAGGACAAAGGAATAACTCAATAGAATAACAATTATTCTGAATCTCGCTACAATAACATTGAGTGGACACCAATAATTAAGCACAATAGCGTAAAGTAACATGGAGGATACCTATAGTTATACACATCTGTAACCTGAGCTGCATCATGGTCAATCTTACCTCGCCGCATTCTATCTGAGTGCCTCCTCTTCGCTCTCTCTGTGTAAAAATATAACTTATCTCTCCGAGAGACATAATAGAATTACAAAAAAAATTCTGAAATTGTAAAATCACTGCTTAGTGATTTTCCTTCTTTCTTTCTTTCTTTTTTTTTTTTTTTTGGGTCCAGGTTGGGGTTTAGGATGGCATGGGTACTGAACCTGTTTTGCTTTTCTTGACAGTGCATTCCTCCCTCTGTGAACAGTTGCTCCTCCACTCTTGATTGACACCTGAAAAAGAGAAAACATAAAGTTAATAAAGTCACGCTCTTTCCACTGTCAATTTTATCAAACCATTCAAACACCATGAATCCAACACACAAACCCGAAAGAAAAACGACAACAAAAGGCTGAAACCAGGGAAGGAGGAAAACAACAGGCTGCAGAAAACAGATCTTGGGCTACGAGTTGCAGACTCATTCAAACAAGAACAAAATCCGTTACACAAAGACAAAACAAGTTCCGGAAGAAGAAGAAGAAGAACAAAAGCTTGTTCACGATTCAGAAAAACAAACACCAAATTTAAGAAGGCAAGAGAAATCCGATTCAAACAAAACCAATCCACAGCCTTAATTACATCAAAACAATGAGAAAATTGACCGCTCACCTGCGTAGAGGACATCATCAGCCTGAAAGTCCTCGTTTTTGCTCTTAATATTGAACCACTTCTTGACCAAAGTTTTGGGCCATGAAAGCTTCAGAGAGTAAAATAGAGAGAGTGAGCAATGGCATGGCAGAACAGAACACAAATGCAATTATGAAGCCAGGTGGCATCATTTTTCAAACCTTGCTTTTCTTCGAGTTCTCATCTCTCATTGTTGAGACAACTTCATAAAGCCTTATGATTTACCAACAGAAAACAATCCAATGAAATCACCTTCCCTCGCCGCGTTTTGGTTGAAGAGGAGCTCAAGTATAACAAGACAAGATAATAATAACTCAGGACCCTAAGAACATGGGTTTCAGATTAATTTTTGGTTGTGTTTAGAAACGAGGAAAAAGACGTAACGGGTCGGATGATCAAGCTTGAAACCACTCACTCGTTGAGGGAACAAAAAAAAAATCCCAGTTTGTGAGCATTTTGGGCAATGTGGTACAAATAAAAAACACTGACTCACATGGTGATGTTTGGAGAGGATGAAAATCCAAGGAAAGAAAGAAGCGCAGATGGGACAACGTGGTAAGAACTATAAGGCACAAGAATAAGAAGACAATGTGCTAGTTTGAAAGAGAGAGAGAGAAAGAGATTCTATGTTGCAAAACCAAACCAAACCTCGTTATGGGTACAGAGGAAAGTATCGAATTTGAAGGAAGGGGGGGAATAAAGTGAGGCAAGCTTCGCTATCTCTCGAGGCCTTTTACCCCAAATCCAAGGCCAAGCCAAGCTAAGCTTAGGAACTTGGAGAGAAGCAATGGTTATATTGGTGAGTGGTGAGAGAGAGAGTGTGTGTGTATCTAAAATACACTAAAAATGTGCATTTTTCACTCTATAACTTAAAGTCCAACGCAGGGTGAATAAAGTTAGGTTTGATCTTATTATGCGAAGCAGGCAGAGGCAGTGGTACAAGTAACAGTATCCCATCACTTCTTATATTTGGTCTTCCAGCACAGAAAAGCGGTTAAAGGGAAGAAAAGTTAAAGAGGCTTGCTTTGTTTTCTGTTTAATTTCTCTTGTTTTGTTTATTGTTTCTTGGAATCATTTGCGCAAATATTCCTTTTGACTGTGACTGTGTCTATGCACACTCGCATATTATATACTTAGTCATTGTCGAACTTCAAAGTTCAAACCATCCTTTTGGATTTAATTTTCCATTTTGACAAATATACTTGTGCTTTTACCCAGATATCAAATCTTAACTTTGTTTAAGTGTAAAAAAGCCTACTACAACTGTGATTCGGCTGCTCACTAAATATCAAAAAGAGTTGCCCTACTCTACCTCTTTGGGCAAAAGAATACATAATGCCAATCATATGTTATTTGATATATCTTTCATGGATATATATTCCATCAGAATTCTAGTTTTAAGATTTTTATATAAAGATAAACAACAACAATTAATATACTACTTTTATATAACTTTATTGAAATTTTCCCACTCTTTAAATAAATACAATACTCAATTTTTATTAATATTAATGTAATTTATGTGAAATTAATTAAGAAAAAAGTAATATGTATTTAAAAATAAGAATATTAATTACTTAACAACTTTTTCTAAAGATGGTTAGAGGTGACAAAGTAAAGTGGATTGGATCTGACAAATCGATCCGTCAAAAATTGGTAGATAGAATAAACACTTATATTTATCATATTACTACGTCAAATAACAAGCTTGTTTAATTTTCAAATATTTTCTTAATTTGATTTGTAACTATATTTTTATCATTTAATGACATCATAGTTTTATTTATATTTACTTTGTAAACTTTGTGTGGTGCTAAAATAGTCTTATTGCTAAAGGATTATTAATATTTCTATTGTGGTTCTTTGGAACTATTAATTTTGTGTTGTTAAAAGAATATTAGTAGTAGTCTTGATTGAAAGAGAATTTTTTTAGTATTTTCTAGTATATTATTTTTGTGTTGTGGTCTTGAAATTGAATGACAAATCTATGTTATAGGTGTTTTAATTAAATTTGTCATTGTAAACAAAAATAAATTTAGAAATTTAAATTAATGAAAAAATAAAAATATTTTTTTAATTAAAACATAACGGAGCAAGATTTTCTACCCACTTTAAAAGAAATTGATTAGTCTCATCTCATTTTGTTTTTGACAAATTAGTGACAAGTGAATCAAAATGAGTCGAACTAACCCATTTTATCATTCTAACTAACAACTCTCTATCTAACACATTCTATCTATACTATTAGTCAAAATTTATTGAAACTTATAAAGTTTTTAATCTCACATCTCATCTAATGAGTAATGAGTTTTTGCCATGAATTTTTAATAAAATCACCCAAATTTATAATTTTTAATCAACAATAAAAAAAAAATATTAATAAAAAAATATTTAAAAAATATACATTTCTCTTTTTTTAAAATGTTAAAACTACATTAAAAAAATTATCCAACGATAAGAGATGTGTTAAAGTTCAAATATGGGAGTAAAGTTTATGTCATATTTTTTAATTGCTCATATATATTATTATTTAATGATAAAATATATATTAAACAAAACATTACTACCATTTCTTTGTTCCTAAGATATATTATAGCCTTGGTATCTTTGCAATGTTGGAGAGAATGTTTGGTGATTGAAAGAAAACAGGATAAGTACTTGTGTTTACAAGCCCCCAATTTGCAATTCGGTTTCTGATGTTATACAACATACAAGTCAATGCCCTTTTGATAAATTTATTACAAGATTCTTTTCTTTTCGGAAGAAAAGAAAAAACTTATAGATTGGTTCAAGAGCTCGCTTTCAACTTAGAGTATGAGCCAATCTGTTGACTTAGTTTGGGATTTGATCAAGAGCTCGCTTTCAATTTAGAGTATGAGCCAATCTGTTCACTTAGCTTGGGATTTGAACACTTCCAAAGCAGGCCAGATAAATCTAGTTCAAAAACAAATGCCTGCTTCGGGCACAATTTATTAAGAGGTTCATGAAGATCATTTTGCATCACTTTGATTGATCGATGAGAAATTAGTAAGAGAGTATATATGGGAAGCAATCAAATCATTGATATAATTTTTTTTTTATGAATTATTATATTATTCAATAATTTTATATTAAATTAAATAATTTTTATAATTTATTATTAGATTAAAAATTTATACTCTTAAATAATATATACAAAATTTTATATTAATTCAAAATAATTTGATATTTCATTCGTATATATCAAAATTGACGTAATAAATATATTATAGAAAATATTAAAATATGAATAATTTTATCACCTTTAAATTATTGTTCAATTTTAACAAAAAATGATAAATAAAAAAATACAAAATGATATGAAGTTAAAATTGAATGATTAAAACGATAAAATTTATATCAAATATAAAATTATTGAATGGTATAATAATAAATAAAAATTATACCAATATTATTTGACATCAAATTGTGTTTGATTAAAGTGAAATACAATAAAAGAATTTTCAAAATATGTTAGTTCTACATTTTTTGTTCACACCGAAGTAGGTAAAAAATAACAACGAAATTATTGGATCTTAAGTTTAATCGATTAAACTACATATTGCCTTTCAATTCTTGGTGTGCAAGATTTTATTAATTGATTAAGCATGATTAAACTTGATTAGTTTTCCATCTCTTTTTTCAAGTTTGTTTTTCGATAACTTTAGAAAATATTTTTCCAAATACTATCAAATATCTATATAAATGTTTTTATATATAGATATGAAGTCATACTTGAATTACCAAAAGAGAAGCTAAAATAATATGTATAAAGTTTTAAATTAAGTTTTGTTGCTTTCGTCATAATTTTTAATAATAAAAATATAAAATTATTATATTAAAAAAACTCCACTGACTGATTAAGAGAATATAACTGTGAAGTCTTTTAATATTGCTTTCAACATGTTTTTACATAAGACATATTGACAATGATAATATATATATTATAGGATGCTAATGAATTTTGAGTTTTGTTTTTAATCAATTTTAGCATGCCATTTTATAATTTGAGAATAAATAATTTTAGAAAGAATATGTTTTAAAACATTCTTGCTTAAGAGTTTAAGATCAAGTTTCATTCGAAAAGATACTTAGTAATATTACTCATAATTACAAGTTAACAATATAAATATTATCGATCTATATATTCTAAATTATAATAAAAATGTATGTGATAATTAATATATCCAAGTGAAATTGGATTCAAATCACTTAAATTAGATACCGAGTTAATTGCATTTTATGAATACAAAAGAAATGTAGCAGAAAGAAGATATTTTATTAAAATTATATATATATATATATATATATATATATATAT